CCCCAGTTTCTGCTGATATCTGCACCGCAGGGAGCTCAAAAATGTCCTTCCCTGTGGCATCACCGGGCACCATCTGCATCATCCCTCACAGCGCCTGGCAGGGCCCGCAGCAGCTCCCCCATGAACACCTCCAGCCGTTTCTGGGAGGCCAGTCCAGTCCAACTCTTTTTTTTCTCTACCCCCTAAGTGAGAGAGGTTGTGCTCCAACTTTGTGATACCGGCCTTCACAGAAATCTGCCTTTGGGTTGTAGTGAACATATTCATTTTTCGGATGATAGACTTCTACCTCACCCCTTTCCATACACTCTATACACCATCCACTAATGTATACCCCAGCAGGTGCCAGGCCTCTGTAGAATCAGAGGCATCAGTGATTAATAACCCATGGAGCTCATTTTTGGCTTCATTTGGGGAACAAGAAATAACTCTCTAGCATTAAGCTGCCAGCCCCAGTCCTCTCTAAGAGCACATCCTTTGGCCTCTTCAACAGATATGAGTTTACTAGGTGCTGGAATGGTGCCACCCCGTACTCAAGGTCGGTGTTTATCCCTGCTTCTGGACAGGCAGGTGAGGGACACCAGCCCTCAGGCAGTAATATCGTGAACACAAGGAAATCCACCAGTTTCCCCTGGAAATGTGACAGAAAGCCTGTCGGGGTATTAAGTACGGTACAGCAAAGGCAATGCCACAGGGAAGAAGCTGCCAAGTTGCTGATAATAATGTATTGGAGTTAAAAGAGCGGACACCTCCATTTCCACATCCTGGGTCACAATCACCTGTAATGTGTCCTCTTTGTTCTTGGTGACCCATTCCTCTGAGCTGAGGTGTACCTATAGTAAGTTAATCCCTGCCTCTTTCCACTGAGGGGCATTTGCTAGCTGTGAGAGAAATCCCCCTCCAAGCGTCAGATTGCACTATGCTGTTTTTACCCTAGTTGACCATGGCAGCAGGAGACTCAAAACAACTGAAAAAGAGACTGTCCTCCATTGCTCTTGTGTCTTGTTCACTTCTAACTAAAATGGGTCATCGTCACTGGCAGATGAAAAAGAAAAATGGCCTACTTAGCCCTAATTCTGCTGCACTTAGCCCCTGCAACTACTTAATAAACAGTTGCCAAACTGAGAAGAGCTGCAAGATCCCCCGAGCAACCTGAACCGACTTGTTTGAGCTGCTATCCACCTTTATCAAATGTCACAAAAATCATTATTTAGTGAAATAAAGATGTTGAACAAATACAAAACCCAAGAGCATGATGGAAAAGAGCAGACGTACAATGCGGTGAAGTAAAGCTGAAAGCAAAGGAAGAGACAAAAGGGGAGCGGGGAAAAAGTCAAGGCAGATAAAAAGGAATAAAGGAGACAAAATCAAAAGCGCATTAGTGAGGAAAAAACAAACAGGTGAAAGAGAAATGACAGAAAGGAGTTAAACTAATGAAAATATTAAAGGGAGAAATCTTTCATGAAAGGGAGGGAGAGAGTCTGAATTTGCATGTTAGTTAAGTCCATTTTTTGTTTTATTATCTCTCACAATAACAGATGTATTCTGCCAGGGGTAAGTGGGGTAATACTGTAATGCGACTCGTGTATTCGCTGATAGGAGACATTCAATTGAACTCAAGACAAACACATTCACTTCACTGTGATATGACCTTTAGGAGAGGACGTTATGAAAATGTCCACAGCAATACTTCTTAGTATATGCTTCTCTGTAAACAGGTGGTCATTTAGGAAGAAATGACATAGGTATCTCAGCTTTAGCAACTAACATTAGTGCTTGTGACCTCTCGTAACCTCACTGTTATTCCAGGTGAGAAATTGGCAACAGTCCTGCTGGATCTGATGTGCCAAACTATGATGGTAATTAGCTGCAAAAGATAGATAGCCAAAACCTGGAGCCCAACCACAATTTCCTGCAAAGAGAGAGGGAGAATAAAAAAGAAATTGGCAAGAGGTATTGATAAACTTGTTTTATTACTTTGCATAGTAGAAAGAAAGACTGCGCCTGGCAGAGGTTCACTTCTTGAGAATGGGTTTTTCTGTGGTACAATCATCTGCCAGCTGTGATGATTTTCCTGCTGTGCATTAAATGTGACTCAGGCGTCTCTTTATTTTAATGAAAGACAGATATTATGGGGAGATATGAAAAACATAGTTACTCATCCACGTTTCCACAGCTATGGCTTTTTTTCAGTTCTTGTCTTTTTTTTAACAGCTATTATTTCAGCTAAATTATCCCAGCTACGTAATGCAAATATTTTGGCAAATATGCTTATTAGCTTCTTTGAAGACAGATAGATGAGAGGTGGACAGGCTACCACTCACATATCTGTATGTTAAATAATGAAGCAAGGAGAAAGATTGCTTAGCTCGGCATTAAGACTGGACACAGGGAGAAACAGCTAGCCTGGCTCTGTTGAAATATGAAACAACAATGACAACAAACACATAAAAAAAAAAGATATAATTTCTCAATTAGTGAGTTTTAAAGCTGCTGGTATGCAGTTCCTTACATTTGGACAGAGCTAGGCTGTCTGTTTTCCCCAGTTCCCAGTAGGAATGCTAAGCTAAGCTAAATGGCTGTAGCTTTAAATGTACTACAGATATGAAAAAGAAAAATCAACCTCCCACTAACGGTCGGGGAAAGTTAGAAAACCAACTTAGAAAACCATTGAAGCGTCCTGATGTTCAAGTGTGAGATATTGAAACAAAAAAGTTCATGTTTTTTTGTGGCTGCATCATTCCAAAATATTTGTTCAATGTTATGTGCTTCATTTTATGCGTTCGGTAATTAGTAACAGAATTTAAAAAAAAAACACCTGTAGGTTTGATCAGTGTTTGGAAAGAGCCGCTGTCTGCACAGAGGTTTAATGATTGGCCCACTGGCCCCAATAAACATCCTTCCTGCAAGAAGAATGTCGCTGCATTGTAATCTTTAGCTAGTCTCTTTCTTTACCACCACTGACCCTCTTCTTCTTTCTCACCCATGTCCTTCCCAAGAATAACACAGATAATATTTGGGAAGTACGAACAGAAGAAGTGAAGGGGAAAGAGCCGGATCCAAAAATGATGGGAGAGTGAGTGAAAAACAATACCATGAGTTTAAAAAGACAGAGGTGCAGAAATGGGAAGAAGGGAAAGGGTTAAATATTAGAAAGGATGATGGACATGAAAGGTGAGCTAGCTACGTAGATGCAGAGAGAAGAGAGAGAGATCCTTTCAAACATTCAGGTGGTGTGGCCTTGTAAAAAAATAAAAATCCAATGAAGAATGCACTCAGCCTGGAATTTATTCATAGATGTATTTATAATGCATGCCCACAGAATGAATTACTTGCCATGCATCTGAGCATAGCATGTATGCGTGTGAGTGTGTGTGTGTGTGTGTGTGCTCAGCCCATACACGCCTGTGCAAAACTGTGTGTTAAGTGTGTGTATTATTTCCCCCCCATGTGAAGTCTATCTAAGAGACAGGACAAGTGCTGATTGATGAGAGAACGTTTGTTTTAACGAGCTTCCGGAGTGGATTCACCTTGAGAGAGATTTGATTTCTCGGTTTACACTGCTTCTACCGCTGTCTGAAGATATCTGAAGCATACACTATCAGTCCACTGCTTGTGTGCCTGAGTTGTGTGTGTGCTCATGGTGTTTGTTTACCTGTGTGTGTTTTGCTCGTGTATATTTGTGCAGCTTGTGTGAGTTTTCTGATGTGTCTGAATTTTGGGTGCGCTTGTGTGTTATTGTGAAGTCTGGCTGCGTGCTGTTTGCAAGTACTGTGTGAGTGAGAGGGTGTGTTTATGTGTGTGCTATAAAATATTGATTGTGGACCATTTTAGGTTTTTGTCTTTTTTTTGTCTTTGCAATTGCCATTTCTTTCACTCATGTCCTAAATATCATATTAATTCATATATGAATTAAAATATTTTTCCAGTGGGTATTTGGCTATATTTATTAAACATAGAGAGACTAATTAAAAAAGAATCACTCCAATTTAGTGATAGTTTCAGCTTCGGTAAATGTTTAGAACGCATATCATCTGAGGACAAATATTTTGTCAGAGTTCAATATCTGGAAATATATATTTAAATGTCACTAAAAGTAGTCAGATTCAGTCAGATATATCATGTTTTAAAACAGTGGAATCAGCTTATACAATACCTACAATGTATATGTTACACCCCCCAAGTTTGTACTCACACATTCCCAGAATAAAATATCAATATATGACCTCAGCACTGGTTTGCAGGGACTCCTCAGCCAAATCACGATAATTTAATTTCCATGTTGTTCCAGTCAGATGATAATGAAGAAATGCAGTTTGCTGTTTTGGTGTCAGTTTACAACCTCTCCTCTGTTTTTATTATCCCACTTTTAGACAGCAGGATGACATAGATAGTTTGGAAGATCCTGGTTCATCCACCTTACAGTACATATTTTAAGCTACAACAATGATTGTATACCTGGTAGTTCTCCCCGTGGAGGGGGATCAATGAAGCATCTAATTGTCTGACGGTTAATTCTCCATTAAGCTCAACCAGAATTAAACATTAAAATAACCTCTAATAAAAGTTACATCATGTATGGTTCAGTGGTATTAATGCAGATCTCTTTTAAAGGTTTTTGACATTTTAAACATTTTAAAGCTTGCATTGGAAGAATTTAGTTTCTGTTTTGCTTATGTGATATTAAGTTGGACATCTGTTCAGTAGGTCCTACCATTAATGGGCACATAATAGTGACTACAGTGAAGAGTGAAAGCAGTGATTGGAAGAGTCTGTCTCTTATCGGAATAACTTCCACCAAAAAAAAAAAGAGTTTAATTACGACTCAATTTTCTGAAACACCCTACAATGTACACAGGAAACTAGTTTCCACTTTTGGCCTCTAGGTGTCCCCGTAACAAATCCCCGCCACTCTTCGGCGCTGCTGTCAACTCTCTGCGCTCTCGTTGACTGTTTACCGTGATATCTTCTATACCGGAAGTCGCTTCATTCTGTGAGTTTTATTCAATATTTACAAAGCAGACCGATGTCAGGTTTAACATGTGAAGTCGCTTTATTAGTAGCGAAGTATAGTGTCGGCATGTGTGTTGTTTGCGTTAGTGTTGCACGGTTTTATCTGTGAACAACGGGAGGCACCGTTGCTCATTGCTCCGCTGTCGCGCCATTTATTTGCATACAGCTGCGTACAGCTGGTTAAAGTTTTGTGAAGTGTTTTGTTCATGTGTTGGCATGTTACCACGGACGGTTCAACGGGGTCGGTTAGTGTTCAAGGAGCTTATCATTCAGTGGTTTAGCAGTGGAGTACTGCATGACGAGCTGCTGCATTAACACAGTTTAATTACTTCAGTGACTGAGGACACCCTGGAGGCAGAACACCAGCGGTTGATTGATGTGTTGTTGCAGTGGTTGTAAAACATTAACGTATGTATAATTAGCCAGAATAAAGTATAACGGTTTCACTTTGAATGTTTTCTAATACTTTGCAAAGGCTGTAAAAATGAACAAGTAAACAAAATGTATTCTGGCATACTGTAAAACACATAATTACAGAAAAGCTGTGTATCGAGATGTGACAGCAGCCTTCTATTGATAACCATTGCAGCAGATGTTAATGGTTGACCACTCATAGCCTAATCAAATGTGAAAATAAATAATATTTACCAATTTACATTCTTTTGAATTATAGAACTATATTCTATATATGTCATTGTGGGGACAGTTTTTCTCTAAACCAGCTAAAAGGTTTCACTATTACGTTTAGCAGGGTTGTGGAAAGGTGGAGGCAATATAATGATTACATAATCCCACTCTACGTCTGCCAAACTGCACTCAAGTTAATAATTGATGTAGTCCTGTTTTTTTAAACCTGGAATAATTTATGTGTGTGGGAAGGAGGAGGACGCATTGTTTTCACTGAGGGGAGGTACAAGGAGGTTGTTAAAAGTCCAGCGGTGGTAGAGTAACCATTGTGCGATCAGTATCTACACAGTGCTTTTTCTGTTCTGTTTTTCTGCTGGCTCTACTTTATGCTTTTCTTTTGTTTCAAAGGATTATTTTCTACATGCACAGAATTTAAATGCAGTATAACAAAAGGATGGCTCGGTGGAAACGAGTTTCAGAAGTTTGGCTATATTATTACATACAGCAGTTTGTAATTTCAAGATTACTGTTTAACTCAGTCTGCAGAGAATGATGGAAATATTTTGGCTGATGAAAGCAAAAGGTGTCTGTCCTCTCTCCTCAATTCCAGGCGAGTCGCCTGATTGAAGACGGGCTCCTGTGGATCCTGGCCATGGATGAAGAGTTGACGCCTTTGGACTGCCTTCTGCCCTCAGGTACTGCCTTTCAAACACACATTACCTCGGCGCAAACGCACACGCGCACAATCAATCAAATACGCAGGTCCGTGCGCACATGGCGCGTTCACCCACAAGCCACAAGCTTGCCCGCCCCGAAAACAGATCTGTATGCGTCTGATCAAAACACAAACTTACTCCCATCACTGTCGCACTTGTCTTCCTCTGTCTGCTTCTCCCAGACACTCTGACACACACACACACACACACACACAAACAAACAGTCTTGGGGGAATTAAAACTCAAAAACAAATCACTGGTACTTTCATGACAACAATGTGTATATGTATGAGATGCACTTCTGAGTGTCTTTTCTGTTTGGCTGCATGAATAATGAATGTTTATTGAAAGAGGGTCTCGTGTGTTTGCTGTTTGAGAAAAACTAACTTTGAGGGGCGGCGTTGTGATTATTGAAACGTTTCTAAAAAAATAAATAAAAATTGCTCCTGCATATGATTTCTGTGATCATAAACATTCACTTTGTTTAAACGCAACCCTAGATAACCACGTTTAGTACGACAATTGACTGAAATCTTTTCAGTAGTACTATTTTCTCTTTTCCAAAGGCACGTAGGTACATTTTTGTGGCAAGATTAGATGTTCTGTATCTGTTGATGCTCTTAAAAGAAACCCTACATATGGCCCGAGGAAGAAGCTGCTTATAGCTGCCTTTAGCCACTGCGCTGAGGTCAAGGCTTACGTGAGCTCCCTGGTGGTGTGCGAGTGCGGAGGAGGGAAAGCTGCCGACGGGCAGGTTTCACCCAGAGCTGTAAAGGTCAAGATCGTACAACAGTGTGGCTTGTAGAGCAGCTCTTCTCAAACCCTCAAAGCATGGTGCTCTGTGGGTCGCGGAAGAACTGCCAATTGGTAAGATTTCATTTTAATTCAAATTGTTTTGGTAATTTACAAAGCTAGCTATGTGCGCCAGTAAAAGCTCCCTATGCGTGTAGTGAGGAAACATGACCCTGAATACATTCATAAATTATTTAGGTAGTTAGTGCTGACTGTGCAATAACACACATTTTAATTGTTTTAGTAAAAAAAGACAGCAGCCACATGTAGTTCCCTCCATCTCTTACTTCTGTCTCGTGTTACAGCTGTACTGTTATTCGTCATGTACATGCCATTTTTAGAGATCTATTTTATAAAGAGCTAATTCTGTGACTTGGAACAAAATATATTCCTGCCTTGCAGTCGTGTACATTATGACAAAAGGAGGCTGCCAATGGTTGAGTAGCAGCTGCTACACTCAATACACACACACAAATAAAAAGGTGGTGCAGGGTTTTGACACTGGCTAGAAATATTGTCCACCCACAGAAAGATATAGATGGAGATGTTAGGAGTGAAAAACAAACTTTCTGTCCCCAAAAAGCTCAGCACTGTCTGAGCTTTTTTGTCATTCTTCTTGGATTCAGCATACGGGCACCGATCAACCTTTTTCATAGACATACAGTAATACTCTGTGCAGTTTACTGACAATTTCAGGCTACCTCCGTAGTCTGTGGCGTTGCATTCCTTGAGTAATTCTACTTCAATGTGATGGAACCACTTTCCTTTAACCTGTAGCTTTTTGTACAGCTGAAGACTCTTGTATGGAGCTGCACTCGACTCCAACATGAAACATCCTGTCTAGACTTCTTGTCGTCTGTGTCTGCCCGTTCACAGAGTGGAATGTGGAAAAATACACCACCAAGCCAGAAAATGGGCCAATGAACACACAGGTGCAATGCCAATAACCTTTTTTTTTTTTAGAGATGTTTAGGTGATTTGATATGAGCATTGAATACTCAAAAATGAAAGGATAAAGATATCCTATAACTACAACGCTCATGTCAGCATAGTTTCTGCGAGTTCCGGGTTTTTTTTTCCTTTTAGATTTGATCCACAAAACTAAATGTACGCGTACCCGAGTTCTGTGAATCTGCACTCTATTGCTCTTCCTCAACCACTGCATGTGCGTCTCACTAAACTGAAACTGAATTGCAAGCACTGAATTTGAATTGTGAGCGCTGACTGTGGACGTATATAAAGAGCAGGATTTTTTTTTTGGATCAAACACAGTTTCAGAGCAACTGCATTCCTTCACTTTCAAGTTTACGGGAATTCAGTTTCAAATTATGTGATTCGAATTCAGTTTTTTTAAATGACATTATTCAAGTGAAGCAATTCAAATTCAACTATAAATTATTCAAACTTTGTTTCTGGTGACACATATTTCTGCCCGTACTCCGCAATGCTGTGCTCTGCTCTGCAGTTCAAAGTTTCACTGAATGTTTGTCTCGGGACTGTTGGTCTCAGGTGCATTCACTGAGGAGTTTCTCCCAGGATATAGTTTATTTTTGGCAACATTTTAAATGAGACATGAACTTGACATCCACGACAATTACCTGCACACCCTCTGGTCCTTCCCACTGGTTCAGAGTTTTTGGAAAGAGATCACAACTTTCAGAGTTTCAGACATGTAACATTTCACTATCTCCATCCACCTGCCTTCTCAGGGACCTGTCAGACTTAACAATAACAAGCAATCCATCTGTACTTGTGGCTCCAGCTATTGCCAAGAAGACTATCCTTGTCTATTTACATACATGTGTCCTTGTCTACTCTTGAGTGCTTTTTTGTTGCCTGTTTGTTCTATGCTTTCTTCCTATTTTTCATCAATAATTATCTTTAAATAATATTGTTGTCCTTATGTCTATGATTAGTCACTTTTCCTCCTCATTGGCTAATGGTTAGAAAAGAAATAGAAACAAAGTAAGTTTAGTCCTCCGATGAGGGAGGTCAGGAGCCGGCAGACATTTGAAAATCCGACGATGAATTCTGTTTTTACAGTTTCTGGCTATGATAAATGATTTTTATAAAACATGCCTTTTGAAACCCGTCAGCGGGTTCTGGGGATTAGAAAGTTAAGTACATTTTTTTTAATCAAAAACAACAAACATTGTCTGGTACCAGCCTCTCCAATACAACGATTGGCTGCATTTTCCAGCCTATTTTTAGACAGAAATTCATTAATTATTAAAAAAAACAATCTACAGATTAATTGGTAATTTAATAATCGTTAGTTGCAGCCCCAGTACATAATTTGTCCCATTGTGATAAAATGAGTAAATGAATGAGTGCCACTGGAGGAACAGAGTACTGCGCCATGCACCATTTATTGAACTGGTGTAGGTTGTATCACGGTGCATTGCTTCCTTTGTTTCTCTCTCCCTCGGTTGTCTCCTATTGATCGCTGTTTGAAGGTTATAATCCTGCTGTTAGACCACTAAGGGCCGCTGTAATTGTGCTCCTGTACGCGTACATATGTTTGTATAAACCTGACACTGTCACACACGTGCGTGTTCTGCACAGAACAGGAACACACGAGTGGTGTTGGCTTGCACAGCTCAAAAAAAAAAAAAATCAATAACACTCAAAGGCCAACATCAGTCAAGAGACACTCACATCTGATAGGATGCTATCAGCAGTTTTGAAGCATCCATTGAAACCGATGTTTACTCAAACACGCTAGCTAAGCGTGACAGGCCACCCACCTGAGTTTGCTCTCTGTGCAAATCCAAGATTTATTGCACAGATGTCACAGGGAGTGCAAATAATGGTGGCAGATCAGAGCGCACACATCCTCCTGAAGATACGACCTATTGATGAATCCGTCACTTTCTAATCAAAGGTAACATGTGTTACTATTGCAACAACACATCATCAGTAGGGTAAAACTAACCTGTCTCACGACGGTCTAAACCCAGCTCACGTTCCCTATTAGTGGGTGAACAATCCAACGCTTGGTGAATTCTGCTTCACAATGATAGGACGAGCCTATCAAACATTTCCTTTGTTGCTTTAGTTCCATATCTTACAGGAAACACTTATCTAGCCGTGGTGGAGGATATGAATACAGCCCCTGGATGTCTGCATTTTAAAGACCCCAGTGTGCAAAGTTAGCCTTTTAAATTTCATCTTTTTAATTATAGATGCTTATTCCTGGAATGTCTTCGTGCTAGGTTATGTGCTTGGATTTTTGTTGTGTGTGGGTTTGTTGTATTTATGCTGTCTGGCACTTCCAAGGTGACATTTCTTTAAACGGAGTGCACGATAGGCTGCACACTTCCTTGTGTGCGTGTGTGTGTGTGTGTGTATGTGTGTGTGTGTGTGTGTGTGTTTGTGCGACGAGGGGTTATCTGAAAAGTCACGGCTGGTTGGGTTTGTCTTTTGTTCTCTGTACACCTCCAGCCAATTAAGAGACAAGACTGACAAATCTACTCTTCCTTTTTCTCCTCCTCACCCACCCCTCCTTGTGTCCTCCTTTTGTTTCCTCTTCCCTTTACCACACTCTGCTGGGGTTGACTTTTGTTTTGGAAATGACCTTCCATGGATGTGAACTTTTTAACGACATCAAGCCCGCTGCTGCAACAAAGTCACAAACCCAAAGACAATTTTTTCCTCCACACTTTCTCAGCTTAGTCAAGATGCACTCTTTACACTTGAAGGTTTACCACCACAAAGGGAGCTTTATAGGACACACGGTGATGCGCATGCCATGAGAATTTCATGAAACCTCAAGATATTCTTCTTCTTCCTTCTTAACCGTTGCTTTCTCTGGCCTCCCTTCTGATGTATTTTGAAATGTGTACTGGGAAAGATATAAGCTCTGTTAGATATGGCATGCAGCGCTGTTTCCAAACTGGTATCCAGTTGTGCAGAATTTACATAAATACAGTTTAGCAGAGAGGGAAGAGGGCATTGTAATCACAGTGTGTTGCTTAAGCTTGTGTATGGCATTTTGGCTTTGCTACAAAGGGCAACTACTTTAAAAAAAAAAAATGGATGTGAAATCATTAATGAGGGCAGACATGAGAGTGAAAGATAAATGAGCACGCAAGTGTTAAGGCAAGAGCTTGTGCTTTGGTCTTTGCTCCATTAAGGCTTTTCTAGCAGCTCTGTTTTTAATGTGTCCATGAATGCAGAGTTTCCATCATTTTTTTTTTTCATCTCCTGCAGACAGAAAAAAAAGATAATCTTAAAGTATTAGGGTATCTGCATTAGAAGCAGAGCAAAAGAAAAGAGGGATTTTACAAAACCAACGCTCAACATCCGGACTTGTTTGGAATGGTTTCTGTTTTTAAACCTCCCTCTTGTTTTCCTGTCTCCACGATAATGACCTCATTATCACCACATTGTTTAACTGGTCTTTATTTAGCCCATTCAGTGACATAAACAGCCACCAATCTGTATTTAAAAGGCAAACAATGATGTGTTGTGTTTTTGCTATGTGGCCATTATGTTCCGTCGTCTGTAGTGTCTCTACCTGATTGTTTCTGATTCGTACCTCTTCCTTTTCCCCCTGTTTTCTTGTGCAGGCACGCAGAGGATCTGTCTTATTGTTCTGAACCAGCCTCTAAATAAAGACTACCTGCACATTCTCTGGAGTAAAGGTATATCTCACACATCACCAACACAGATCAAACACACCTCTTTTCGGAGCTCATCTGCATTGAGTTGCACTGAGCATTTATTTCCCTGTTGTTTTTTAAGGGACTGTGCTCTCTGGCCTGTGTAGTCTCCACTGTGCAATATCATAATTACTGCCATGTCTTTGAAAATGCCCCCTTTCTGCCCTCTGTCCACATTTCCTGTGAGATGTTTTAATTAAGTTAAAGAGGACATAACTCTTTTGCAGAAAACTTTCCTTCCTATTTCCTTTTATAACTCCCGTAGGACCTGGACAATTGATATAATCAAGAAAGATTCATAATACCATACAAAATGTGCTAAATTTTCATTGGATTCACAGCTTGAATATTCAGCGTGATGTTGTTGCCCCTGAGACGCTGACTTTTTATTCTCATGATTAAATGGCATAATGAGTTTTGAATCTGAAATGTCAGTTGAAACGGGGCCATTTAACTTAACTGATAAACCTGAAAAGAATGTGATCAAATAAGAGCCGTGTTGCTACTCGAAAGGTCTGCATTATTTTCATTCATTATTTCCATAGGTCATTCTTTCACAGCCCTGAGCCATATGCTTTACAGTACACATGTGTCTAAGCACTCTTTTTGTAAGGTCTCGAGATAACAACAACAGCGCATCCGTTCGGATTCATTCAAGTGTGTGTACATTCATTACAGCTAATTGGTGGATAAATAATTGTGAACACAGACAGTGGCGGTAAGTGTCCACTCCACTCAGCGGGGGAGTGACGAGGTCGATACAAACAAACCCAGCGGACCCGAGACCCCTACATTTAGAACGTGGGCGTTTCGGTCACAACAAATCCACCCTCACAACGGACTTGGAGCGGTTGCTTCCATCTCTGAGGTCTCCTGCAGCCTTCCATCAGAGGGGGAATGATCTGCTTAGTGATACGACCACATGGGGTAAACTTCACTGTCAACCTGCTGCTCACAAGTTGCTGGCAATTTATGAACCAAGGAAGTCCTCTAGATTCCAACCACTTTTTTTTTTTTTGTAGCTGGTAACGAGAGGATGTAAATAATAATTAGATTTCCCTCCTCTGCTTCATGAATACTCCAAGATCTTTCATGAGAGTAAAAGACAAACAGAGATTCATTCTCCAAAGGCTCGTTGTTAAAAGAGGGAAAATAGTTTTTTGAAAGGGAAGTAGAGCTCCAGTCTCCCAGAGGTGTTGCTTATGAGATGCGTTGATGCCTAATGGTTGTTAGTTGGCTATGATGTATTAAATATGCAAAGCTGACTTTGAGCCTTTAAACCAGACATTGTCATTCAAATCTGGATCCTACAACTGTGTTTTTCTTTTGAATCCGCTGAACCGATCAGAAACGGAGCTAAATGAACAATAATGACTGGAGCCAAACTGCCGAATTTGTTTTTATCAAGTACGTAGTGGAGAGAAGTGGCCTGGAGCACTGGCACTGTGAAACAACAAAAGAAAATAACTGTAGGCCAAATCATTTATGAAAACTGTTATACATGGATTTATGCATTCAGGAAAGTAAAGGAAACAAAGCAACTTTGAAGGAAAACTTGTGATTAAAACCACTTTAGATTGAATTTCAATGACACAGCTTTTGATATTCTTATCAACTTAGAAATTACCCAGGAGGCACCTGAGCTCCTTCTGTCGCACAGCTCTCTCTGTTTTTTGCTTTTGTACTGGAGGACCTCTAGAAACATGTTTAATGGCATTAGACAAAGCGGTTTCCTCATCTGATTTCACACCAAATGTTGCCTGTTGCCCCGAGATAAAGACCCTGTGGATTGTTAATTAAGTGAGAATAATCAAAAATACTGAATTTAAAGCAAGAAAAACCTAGAATGTTCATCAAGCAGATATTGGTAAATGTTATGTTGAAATGGAATGGGTTCGTTGACTCTAAGTCCTCCAGTGTGCATCCAGAGTAAAGATCTGCACAATACAATTGCTTTTCAGAAAATTGCAGTTATATTATTTGAAATGTGTTTTCAGTGCGAATGATATCTAAATTGAAGACAGTTTTTCAATATCCATCTTAAATTATTTGTTTGCTCCCACATGTGGAGATATTAGTCTGGTAATACATTCTTTACGCCCTGTTGATTATAACTGACCCTCAGCAGTGCTCGGAGATTGATGTTTTTCATTTAATACCCTTGTTTTCGAATCCAAAATGTGACCAGACCAGCAAACCTTAACTGAGGTGGTTATACTCCAGTGATTACATTTTAAATTGTGGAGCTATTACAATTCCTTTTGTTGATTTTCATTTATTTTTCTCATCCCAGTCAATACTTGCCAGTAGTTCAGGAACAAGAATCATAAGTTAAGCATTGCATCAAACCATCCTCCTGCACCATTCTGCGACCACTGCGAGATAGAAAGACCTGTCGGCTGTACTCTGACAGCGCGATGCAGCTTGATAACGTCGTATGGCGTTTGCTCCTTCTTAAATAAGGCTACTTTTTAAAGTTTCAGAGAGATGTTGGGTGGTTTCTTAAGTGCCACAAGCAATGCTGTGGTGTGGATTTCAGAAATTGGGAAGCTTTCTTGATCCGTTTTACTCTTGGCAGTTTTGCACATGGGACTTGAGGAAAGTTTTGACAGGGTGATGATGGTTATGATGATGCATGAATGGCAGATCTCAGATCTCTTGCAGTGTGATGGTAAACACGCTTTTAGCGAGTTTTATCATTCCTCACTTGATATGCCATGTATTTTTAATGTTGTTTATCGGATTTGTCAGTGTGAGCGTGTCTGAGTGCGTGTCACTCTCCAGATGGTTGTTCACCTGGAGGCATCGTAGCCAGGTCTCCACCCTTACACACACACACACATACGCACACGCTGCACTCTCAGGTTCTCTGATGTGCTGCCCCCGGCCACCCTCATCACCTGTGGGAGAGGTAGAGCAGCAGGGAGCGAAGGAGCGATACCGGCTGGGAGAGCGCAGCGCTGATCAAAGGGAAGCTCATTTACACGTGATGTTGTGCTGTGGCATCAAGCTGCTTATCTCACTCACGCACCCTCTCACTCATCTAGTCCATCAGTCACCCACTCACTTGTTCATTCAGTCAATCAGTCACTCATTTACCTACTTACAGGTGCTTCACTTACTTCCGTGTAACAACACAAACAAGCCAATCAATAAAGCAATCACTGAAGGTGTCTCTCTACAAGAGAAAAAACACGGCCTGTGCCGGATTTCATCATTTGTTGATGTGGAGCAGCTTTTATGAACATTACCCAGCAGCCAGTCGAGTATCAGCCATGCAATCAAGGCCGGTTGGGTGATTTGTTGTTGTGCAAATGCACACTTCCTGAACTTCAGCATTTAAAAGCATGTGTCAGATGGCGTAAGTGGGAACGTCGAGAATTCAAAGAGAGAAGCTGTTCGCAAGGATTAATGGATAGAGGTCGTCAGAAAAGCCAAAAAGCAGATTCCCGTAAGCCTGTTGGTGGAAAGGTAAAAGAATGAGTCAAAGAGCCAGTGAAATGTTGCCCCCTGGAATAACAAAGAGTGGGACAGAGCATAAGAATAAAGAGTAACGGAGAGGTATGAGATATATATGTGTGCAGGAAATCAATCAAATTTAAGGCAAGGTGTAGAGAGCAGGGTGGATCTGGAGACAGGAGGACAGGTGGAGGGGAAGATGAAG